ATATTTTGTACTTGTGATCCTTCTTAGGCCCAAAAAACACAGCAACACAAATTTGTGCAGATGCAAGACACATTAGAATGATTCCAACGCATTGAAGAGGAGCATGATGAACCCCATAATGTTTTCCAATATACAAACCAGTCCCAAACCCAACAATAACGATAAAAAAGGCCAATGATTGGCATGCTAGATGTAGGTGAAACCAAGTGTCTCCTAAAAAGTCAAACACCTTCAAGTGAAGACCCATCATCACTCAAATAGGAATCATTATTCCATGAACATGTATAATTCACAAGCTCAAAACACATTTCAACTTAAAATGGATAAATATAAAAATACAAATTATTTCTTACATTTCTCAACACAGTTTGTGAGTTCACATCTTTAGTGACTTTAGAAACCTTGTCGGATATGAAATTAATGGTTCCATAGGATCGAAGATTGGAGAGTGAGAAAGAGTGAGACCTAAGGGTGTATGAAGCAGAAAGGCTATAAACTGAAAAACTGAGATTACCCTCTTGTAACATTGTCACATAACTGGTTTTTGGAGATATGTATGCTCTGATGGTAACATTTGATGTATGAATTGCAACGAATGCTTGTGAACCCAACATGCCATTTAAAGTAGGATTGATGGCCAATGCAACCCAATTTGAATCCTTTGTGTTGGCTTTGTTAAATGAAACATCGACTATATTTGATGAAGGATGATAATTCCAATACAATGAGGATTCAAGATCAGAAAAATCTTCACAAACTGTATAATTGATGTGTTTTGAAAACCCGTATGATTTCCATGATTGTGAGATGCTAGGGACAATGCTAGCAACTAAAATTGTTAAGAACAAGAATATTGTATTTTCAATTGAACTCATAATAAAAGAGAAGAAAGTAGAGGAAAATAATCAAAGTTAAAATTGAGTCTAAGTACACTAAATGACACCTATATTTATAGGTTTACATGGTTTATGAGCGAAGATATTTTTATCTTATATAAAAATTTAAAATATCTTTTTAAAATAATTTTTATCTTCCTATCTTAAAAGACTAAAAATATATTCTTTTCAAAATTAGAAAAATCTTAATAACGTATTTTTTATCCCAAATATATGTTCATCAAATATAGATAAAATAAAAACATTATTATGCATATCATAAAATCAGAGTTCAGATAGTGTACTTCTTATTTTAAAATATTTTTCATATTTTTATTTTATTATCTTTATGTTTGAAGAAGTAGGATTTAAAACCCATAAAAAAATAACATCTTTACTATAAATATATTTTTTCAATTAAAATATCATTTTTAATTTAATTTAATTTTAAAATTTTTATTATGGAAAAGATCTTGTTCTTAAATTTGATAAAGAGAGATCTTAAATAAAAATAATATAAAAGAGAAAAAAATAAAGAAATAATCCATAAATCATGAACAAAATAGATTAATACATTATCTAAACTTTAGTCAATCGAAATTTTAAATATCTGAAATATCTCAACAGAATATAATAGTGGATGAAGTAAATATGCAGTCATATTCACTCTTCCAGAAAATTAAAAATTTAATCAAAATTTAAATTGAGGGAGTTTAAATCTTAGTGAAGCAAACTCCTTTATGTACAAAACACAATCATTAGGATAAACATGTATCTTTTGATATTCAAGAACCATTGGACATAAAATTTTCTTTGCCTTGTAATTATGAATAGGTAGAGTATTATTTTCTTGAATAATCTCCTTCAACAACTCCAACAACTCAGTGAAACTTTTGTTGGTCCATCCATTCCTTGCTTTTAAGCTGAACAACTTCAAAGTTGTAGAGAGACGTGTAAAGTTCGAGCATCCTGGGTATAACAGTTGCTCTGAATCATTTATAAGCGAATCATACAAATTAGCTCTTCCAAAATTCTCTTCACTAACATAACGTATCATGTCCTCTAAATTATCACTCAACCATTCTTCATCATAATCAGTTCCTCGTCACGTGTAAGCTGGTCTAGTATTTCTCCATGCCAAATCCAAACGGTATAAGTTCTCCTTATGTCGAACATGAATATGTGGTCACGCATATTGCCTAAGTCTTAGAGTATTTAATTAAGACAACAAACACAAGGACAAAAATATGTCCCGTTCATAAACTTTGTATTTTTTTCAACATATTGCAAGAACTCTGAAACACCCTTTTCATATTCTTCATTGATGCAACGTTCACTCATCCAGCTTCGATCCATACTATGTTCATAACATATTTCATCAGTCTCAATTTTTGAACTCTCACAAGGTTAGGCCCTACCCATTAAGAAAAATTATTTTTCATAATTTTCTAAGACACATGCAAAGAAGTCTAACATGATAAATTTGATAAGATTTCGGCAGCATTTCGTATTGGTCTTCGGAATACACGAAATGAGAATGGTCAAGGATGACCACAATCAAATATGCATCCAGAGAAAAACAGAAATAATATCAACCAAAATTTTATCAATCTTATCCGTAAACTCCAACATACATGTTATAACAAATTATGAAAAATCATTTTCCCAAACTATCCAATCGGAATATTCAAAATTTAACACAAACTATTAAAAGATTAATCGTTTGTGTTAAATTTCAAATGGGAGCTAAGTTTCACTCAATGATTTCGTACTTATAATATAACATGTTAATTGTCGCAACCGGAATCGCGACGGGACGACGATCCAAAAAGAAATCGGTTTTGGAAAAGAGATTTGGAGTCGCCACCATAGTTTATTCTGGAAAACTACAGAAAAACCACAAAACGATAAAGCACGGTCCACGAAAACCAAAGATTGGGTTCGGGAGTCGGTTACGCGTGGGGAAGGTGTTAGCACCCCACAACGCCTGCCCTAAGGCAGTACCTTTAACTAAATGCACGAATATGATGTGGTTTTCAAAATGTTTAACTATCCCCTAAAATAAAATTCTAGATAAACAAAACATATTTTTTAGTTTTTTGGGCCCGACAAGGATTGACCTTGCTCCTACGTATTCTCATTCAAAATGAGAAATCAGGGTTACGTAGTTCTTTTAGAAAACTGCTTTGAAAATTGGTTTGAAAATTGTTTAGAAAATTTTGTTTGGAAAATGATTACGGATAAATTTGGATTTTTGGGAAAGTGAACCTGACAAGGGCTAGCCTTGCTCCTACGTATCTCCACTTTTGATGGAGAATCAAGGATCACGTAGTTCTGGGTAGCAAGACTATTTGTTGTTTAAAATTGTTGATGTTTTCGGGTTTTTTGAAGATTTTATACCTTTTTTTGTATTTTGTTTAAGAAAGAGAAAAGGTTGTTAGCACAAGGACGATGCGTGCGATCACACATGTGCATAAACCTTTAAAACATATTTTTTGGTTAATTTTACTTAAGGAAAAGAAAAGGTTTTTAGCACAAGGACGATGCGTGCGATCACACATGTGCCTAA